GTATGGTGGTGTGGGTGGTGTGGGTGGTGTGGGTGGAACTTTTGGAAGGCCCCTGGGCACAGTGTTTGTATTGGATTCTTAGTGGTTTCGTTTTTTTGACATATTTTTCCTAAGGAAAAGAAGTGCTGAGGTTGAAATCGGGTAGTTAGAGCCTTTGGGGGCCTAGAGCACTACCAGTCATTCTGAGAAAGCCCTTGTTGAGTATTGCAGTCGAAGGCCACTAGAGACTGCACACTGAGGAAGGCCAACTAAGGATCATTGAGTATATCCAGTTCCTGAAACTGGTGGATGGATATCCTGTTGCAGACAGTGCACAAGTGGCTGGAAATAAGTCAGGGGCATGGGGAGCTAGAGGCACATGCCCCCCGGGAACATGCTGGAGTAATAGCACAAGTCACCAGGGAAGACTGCCAGGGAACGAGGGAGAAAGGGAAAAGTGGGAAGGGGACAGATTCTTTGGGCAGAAATGAACGAGGGACCATAGGAGAGCTCCGCCCACCAAAAGCCTAGCAAGGGAAGTTCTAAGAAGCTAATGGTCAGCATTATCTGATGGAGGTGAGGATGGAGTGAGAGAGCGTTCACCAGTCTGGAGAGTGAGAGGTCTTAGGGTAGAAGGTGAAGAAAAGTGAGAAATGACGAGCCACGGAGGGATGAGGAAATCGAATAATGGTAAGATGAGGAGAGGGTGGTGGGGAGGGGGAAGTGGGCAAGCAACACTCTTTTTAGAGTAGGATTAGAGTCAGGATTCTGTGTTAAAGGAGCAAGAGACTGCAGATAAGAGAAGGAGTCCAGTTCAGGAAGAGAAGAGTGGCTGCTATTCGGGAAAGGAGAGGGGTCTTGAGAGGAGTGACAGGGTTGGAGGAGGAGCCAAGTAGAGCAGATATGATACAGAGGAGAAGTGCTGACTGTGCCACCCGGTCTCATCTCCGTCCCACTGACATTGAGGCCCTCTCCTCTCAAAGGATTGAAGAAGGACCACCTGGGAGCCAGGGTGGGATTAGCTTCTAGTCCTACTTTCAGACCCAGTCCCCACGTGACCCACAGTGTACTCTTGCACAACCAAGGCCACCTTACTTGTCAAGCCAAGTATCAGAGCAGTTCACGCTCCTTGGCCTGTTCCATGCTATGTCCAGATGAAACAAAGCAGTTTTGTTAGCAGGTGAGACTTTGTATACATTATCCAAGTATCCAGGATCCTGCAATTAGATTTATCAACTCTCCATACAGTTCTTTAAAGAAGTCTATCTTCATACATATATGAGTTTTCCAATCTAAAAGTCCATGGACTCTATAGATTTAATATAAATGTAAATCCTTCTCATCTTCCCATGCTCCTTTTTTTTGGAGGGGGGGCTTTCATATACTCAAATACGTCTCCCCCCCTTATCTTTTAGAGTTTGTCTTGCTTTGTAGCTCAGAGTACCAGGAAAGATGCCTTATACACCCTGGAGCCAATTCTCCTTCCTCCTAAGGCTTCTCTCCCCAAAGTTGCATTTAGAATTTCTATTCAAGACATAAATGAACAATCAAACATAAGCTAGTCCCATTAAAGAAAATTAGTGGACCTTCTTTGAAAGAACATTCTAGGGCTGGAGAAATGGCTCAGCATTTAAAGGCTAGGCTCACAACTCAAACTATAAGAACATTCTAGTTTGTGCACAGAAGCAGACAGAGGACTCCCTCTCTCCATGAGTCCCCTTGGAGATCTCCAGAAACTTCCCACTGACCCTACATCTCAGTTTCAGCCAGTTTCTGCATGTTGTATAAAATGCCAATCTGCTCCTTCACTTCTGGTGTTAAAGCCTTCCTAATGCCTCCCTGGAAAATTCCATGCAATTCCTTAGCATAGAGCGCAAGCCCTTCATGGTTTGACCCTACCGCTTTTCCAACCACATCCCCCTGCATCTCTGTGTCCAGGCATTTGGAAAAACCCCTTTCCACTTTAGGCGTTTTGGACACTGATCTTTTCACACAGCACTGTCCTCCATCCCCTCTCTCCCCTCACTGCTTTCACCAAAGCTACCTGAACCCATCCTTCTTTTCTGAGCTCAGCTGTCCTAAGAGTCAGCCTCCAGGCCCTGAGAAGAGGTGACTGTTTCATTTACTCCCACTGATCTGCCATTGCCCTTTATGTGGTAGAAATCACTTTATACAGTAATTGTCTGTTCACTGGTTGGCTGTCCCTGCTAGAATGTGTGTTTATGAGGAAAAGGACCATTCGGTTTTGCATGCCTCTGTTACCTAGCTTATAGCTGAACGCTTGTTCAATAAATGTCTCCCCGAGACACACCCATCACAGTGACTAGTATACAAAAAAAAAAAAAAACTGCTTAGCACAGGAGTAGAAGAGGTCTGGGGCAAGGCATTCAGAGTGCCAGCTCATGGAGGGATCCACAGAAAGGGGATTTTATTTTTATAGTACTGCAGATTAAATGAACATCCTAGTCAAGTGCTTTGCTGTTGAGCTACATCCTTGTCGTATAGGCTCCCTGTGCCCACACCAATCTTTTTTGTTGTTAATGATGGGATCTCACTAAATTGCCCAGGCAGGCCTTGAATTTGTAATCCTCCTGCTGAGGTTACAGACCTATGCTGCCAGGCCTGGCTTGATTTTTACAAGCAAAGCAAACAACAGCCAACAGAGTTGGTCTGGAAACTTGTCTCCCTTCTGTGACCCAGAATAGAAGACACCCAGGGAGGGGAAGATGTACCATATCCCTCTGATTCCATTAGTTTAACCAAACAGTTACTAAGTGCCTGCTGTATACCAGACATAGGGGCAGGCCCTGGGGATAGAATAAACTGCCAGCTCTCCTTCCTCTCTTTGCAGAGCTCAATGTCCAGAGCTGCCCCAGCATCACTCAGTCACTTCAGTAAAATTGAGTAGCATCTTAGGTCACTGCTAAGTGATAGGTTCACATTATGGATCTACAGAATAAGGAAATCTAGCCTAGTCAGAAGGAAGGGAAAACTTTCTCCAGTTAGGAGTGTTGAAGAACAATAAGCATTCCAGAGGGATCTGCACCATGGCCTTCTGGTCTTCATCAAGTTAAGAAGGAACCTCTGCAATCAATTCCCAGTTATGCAGGCTCTGTGGAGGCTCCTTACACACACACACACACACACACACACACACACACACACACACTTCACTTATTTAAAGAAAGAGACATGCGTGAAGGACTGTTTAATGAGAATGTAGACTGCAGTGATGACCCAGGTGACCAGTCCCCATCCAGTCGCCAAAAGCTCTGGCTGTCAACCATCCTCTTTTGCAACACTGCAAGCCTGAGTGTAGGGGCAGCTTCCTCTCAAAGCTGGATGAGCCAGCCAGAGGCTGGGAAGGGAGGGGGGGGGTGGGAAGGCAGAGGAGAAGGGCCAGTGGGAGGTCACTCGCCCATACACAGTGAACTGATGCCCCTCTTTCAGGAAGAGCATGGCACAGCAGCTATATTTGAAAACCGAGGTAAACAAGAGCTCAGCTCAATTGGACAGGGCACAACAGCTGTGGGAGATTAATCACAGGAGCGCGGCTGCAAGTCACCAGGTCGCTGGAGGCCCGCAGGCTTCCCTTTTGGTACCCCACCAGAAGACCGGATGTGTTCCTATCATGTACCCACAATCCTCCCCCTTTGGGGGTTTCTTGACCACCCAGGAGCTGGGCACCTGGCGCCCAGCTGCAGCCTGTGTTTCTGATAAATTGCACCCAATTTCAATCTTTCTGCCTGGGAAACCTTAGCACCAAACGTTCAGAGGTTTGCTTTTTAATTGCCAAAAGAGAGAGAGAAACAAAGAGGGAGAGAAGGATAGGAGGCAGGCGGTGAGTGAGGAAATTTACAGCGCTGCATTAAAGACGTTTGCTCTATTTAGCCCCCCCCCCCCCATGGTTAAAAATAAAACACAAAGAATAAAAAGGAAAAACTGCCTCCTCCCCCGAAACCCCTCTAGCAAATCGTTTTCTTCCTCTGCCCCAGTGGTTCAGGTCCTCAGGGCAGGTCACTCAGGGCCTGCAGAAGCAGGACTAGCCTTTAAATGAGGGCATGCGTGTGTGTGTGTGTGTGTGTGTGTGTGTGTGTGTGTGTGTG